ATCCTTTGGCAGGTTAAATGCATTTCAGCTGTGCTTGTCTGGAGCTCAAAGATGGACATAGATTAATAATACACAATCATAAAGAATACATGCATGTTAAACATATATTTCCTAATGAGTACATGATGAGCAACTCCGGGTGACAGGTTGTCAGTACGCCAACTGCTCATGCCATCCACCTTATTCACCTTTTAACTAAGTTTTACACAAGTTAATGCTAGCAATATGAAGCAGGCTTTTCATAGTGCTTCTGGAAGCTTTTCGTCACATACAGGTGAAACTCGAATAATTAGAATATCGTGCAAAGTTCATTTATTTCACTAATGCAACTTAAAAGGTGAAACTAATATATGAGAGAGACTCATTACATGCAAAGCAAGATAATTCAAGCCGTGAATTGTCATAATTGCGATGATTATGGCTTACAGCTCATGAAAACCCCAAGAACCTCAAATCCACAACCTCAAAAAAGTAGATTATTACATGCAATCAATAAAACAAGGATTGTACATAGAACAATATCGGACCTCTGAAAAGTACAAGCATGCATATGTACTCAGTACTTGGTTTGGGCCCCTTTTGCAGCACTTACTGCAATTACTTTTGCACAATATTCTAATTATTCGAGTTTCACCTGTAATTGTGAGCTATGGAGTAGATCTGGAGAGAGGATAGGCTATGAACCAGTGAAGAAGCCAGCCCGCTGCAAGAGCTGAACATACAAAAATAATTAACAGATTGGCATTGTCTTCTGAGTTTAAAGGCGAAATGTTCATATTTAGATTGTACCTTTAGAAATGCAACAACCCCTAACTTTTTAGGTTCTTGAGGACAGGTATCTGAAGTGAACACAGGTAAGTTAGTGTCCTAGAAATATTGCTTGCATTATATGTACTGCAAACATACTATATATTCTGTATGATGACTACGTGATTGGACAGAACCTTAGGTAAGCACAGTGGCCAGATTCCCTGTCCCTATCACCTAGAGTAATAAGACAAGGTCATAGAAAGGTAGATGGACTACTAAACATCATTGTATGTAGACTAGTAGTATATAGAATGTTATGTTCCCTGAAAAGAGTTTATTTAAATTTTACAGAATAAATAAAATCAATATTTTGCTAGGAGGAGAAGTTGGAAATCCTGCCTTTGCCCCTGATGGAGGAAGGGACATTGGGCATGCAACTCTCCTTAGGATAAAGAGGTGGCACAAATGTGCCTGCTACCACACCATATCCACCAGCTGTACCCTACAACTGCAGAGCATACAGACACTCACGTCTATTTGACACTCTCGTAGGATTTTTTTTATAGGTAAGCTCTGCCATGTGGGTGCTATATGTAGTAAGGGTCTAATCATCAATTAGTCTGAGGGCTTGTAATAGTGATTATTTCTTACCTACATCCATGGTGTCACAGTCTTCCTCCTCGGTACTTCTGGTATTGACAACCGATCCCACAAAGCCACTCCTCTGGACGTGTCTCGCTGACATCATCGCATACAATGCAGGACCAGTGGCCACCACGGGTCCTGCATTTTACGTAATGACATCAATGGCCTTACCACATTCCCAGGTGTAAGCTAGAGCACTCATTGTTAAGGTACTGGCTTAAATTTTACTCTCTATACCATGTCCCCAGACTTAAGGAGCATTAGATCTTCATGAAGGGTCACCCAACCCACAAAACATTTTTTCTTAGCTGACTAGCCTTCAACTTTAAAGGAAATCTGTACTGAGATACTACGTAGGCTGCCGTTGCTGAACCCACTCAATCCTGAGCCACTTTCTGATTTCCTCTGACTTCATTAGCTGCATGCTTATTCTGGACCAGTGTCTCATAAAATATTGAGGCCTAAGGCAACCAGGAAATTAGCACTTTCTGAAGAAGGCCATCCTTTATATTCCTCATACATCATATTTGATCTTGGAACATAATGCCCCCAAAGTTTGAGAATAAAACATGATATAAATTCTAGATTCTTTACAAGCCATAATATTTGTCATTCTGACTATACACAATGGTGGACACCAGTGTAAATAGTAAATATTAGAATTGATTAAATATACTAAATGACCAGATTATTACCCCACCCATGAAGTTCCTCTTGTGCTGCCCCTCCCTATTAGGAGCTCAAACTCCTCCCACCTCCATGCCAAAAAATTTATGAAGATGCCAGCACAGTAGAGTGCATCAGAGCCCAAATGTCTAACAGTAACACCACCAACACCCCCAGCCTGCTCTGGTGTGCAGGGGATTATGTGAATTTACTGCAAAGATAGATTGCAGATCATTAAACTAAATTGTAACTAATGCATTGGATATTTTAAAGTCAAAACATAACTGGACTAACGTTTTCCCCCCCTTATATTTACCTAGAGTTCTCCTTGAAACATTTGAACAGGACTGTCAAATGTGTATTCTAGACAACACAGAAATGGTATTGGTGCTTGCGTAATTTGGGTTATGTTTTCTCCCCGTCCTCATGTATTTTCGACTCCAAAAAACAAAAAGTTCAGAAAAATTATTTGCTCACAATGCTCTTTGATGAATCTGTTGTTTTTTTTTTGCCGTGAAGCTGATTCTTCATATGTTCAGGAGCCTAGTAATATATTTCAGTGCTTTGTGTCTCCTTTTTTCTACCCTGACATTGGTATTGCCTATACACATGTAAGAATGAGGTACTGTGCTTATTTCTGCTAAGTTGGAAGCCAATCCAAAAACAATGAGGATTTAAGTCATAATTATGGTTAACTATAGTATATTAATAGTCATAATCATGGAAAAGACTAATATTGATCATGATGACTAATATCAGTGATATTCAGACATCTACAGAAGTTACTGATATGACTTCTCCTCAGGTAATGTGCACAGTGCTATAGTTCCTGAGCAGTTTTTGAATGCAGCTCTCGGTTATCAGCTGTCCCTGACTTCCAGGTTGCCCCTGAGGTTTTCAAGATTTGTTCTGAAAAACATTGTCCTTGGAATTGTCCCTGGTTTTTCAAAGTAGACTATTAAAAAAAAAAAAGATCATTGTTTTCTGTAAGTGAGAGCTGGTATATAGTGATTTGTAGTCCCCTGAGCTAGTATTTTCCGTGATGCACTTAGATAAACAGACAGAGCGTCAAGGTGCCCCATGTTGACAAAATCTGTCATCCGACTGCCCTGTAACACTTTTGACTTTCGGGGAAGGTGGGGTGAGGGGGGGTGGGGGTATGTATGAGTGAGCACAAGCAAAATCCAATGAATTTTCAATGTACTGATGTGTGTTGTTTTGTTTTTTTATTTTAGACGGCCTTGCGCTTAATTTTTGTGCAGTCCACGAATGTTGTCAGGTCTAATGGAACTATTAAGAAACATGCCGTAACTCCTGCAAAGCACATGTAAATACCCTTGTGGCTGGCAAACACATTATGGGACATTAAGCCGATGCAGGTAGTCATATTTTTTTTGTTTTCATTCACTTTAAAGGTAGGTCACTAAGTCTGAGCTGAAATACTCAAAAGTGCATGTAAACACTTTTGAAAAACCCAATGGATCTGAGTGCGCTTACACGTGGAAGACGCAGAAGTGTGTGTACAGCTTGAACGTATTTATGGAGTGTTGACATATCTTTTGCAAAAAGTCAGACTTTTTGATTAGTGGGTAACCTTTTTTGCTCCTGCAGGATTACTGACACGAGAGATGTTTGCCATAGCCTGAATTTTAACAACATTCTGTGCATTTTCCTTCAGATTCCTAGAGAATATCTATCTCGACCATCAGACGTTACACAATAATTGCTAGATCAGAAGCAGCTATTTAACGTGCTGGAGTTCGGGAAGCACAATGAGAGATGTCAATTATAGGGCGATAGTGAGAGACTAGAGACAGCGCAGTGTAGTGTAGCATGCAGACCATTTCCCTTTTTCCCCCCCTTACCACTTGTGCATACATAAATACCTGTAAGTATCACTTTGTATCAAAAGGAAGTAAGAAAACCCAGCAAACTGCATCTGAGATAAGGAAATAATATTAGCAACAGCAGACAGCCAATCATTAACAAATGAGTGAAATATTCTTAACTGATGAGAGTGAACACGATGCTTTGTCACACATACATGTATTGCCATTTATCCTCACAATCTCACATTAAATCTACGGTTCTGTCTTTTTCAGTCTCAAGTCCATGGGCAGTTTCAGCACTGCCCAGTTCGGTCCATTCATGTCAAGGTGATTTTTTTTTTTCGTACGGCTAAAATTGAAAAATTATTTTTTTCCGGGCTGTATATTTATTTCATCCATTGATATTTTTTTATTTTTTTACATTTTTCATGTGTTGTAAAGTTTGCACTAACTGCAAATTTAAAGTACATCTGTGTACTTTGCAGAGTATTTCAGAGTGTTTCATTGCCTTCTGTAAGATCATCAGCTGTCATTAGGCATAGTACCAAGTCTAGTGTTTTTGCAATGTAGATAACCTTGAATTTTTCCCTGTATCAGTCTGAAGTAGAAGAGCCCTGGCATACAAAGCAAACGACTAAGTATGTGACCAATGTTTCCTTACACTTAATTAATTAAATAATAATCATTTACTGGTCGCTCTGCTGACTCGGTATACTATCGGGGACCACGTATTGCCTTTCAGTTTGGAGTTAAGCTCACCTCTCGCTTATAGCAAGACTGGTCAAGGTAAGAGCCCACAAACACTCTTAGATGCACCTGCCCTTCTTGCTAATCTTACAGTTGTCAGGTCTCCATTTAAATAAAAGGCAGCCCTTCCAAAAATTAAAAAAATAAAATAAAGGCTAAATATTTTTGAATTTTTATGTCAAAACCATTGAGAAGTTTTCTGTCCGGTGCCGTACGAACTTGTCCGACAAGAAGCTGGTGTTACGGAAAATGAGTTCTCTACCTTCTTCGGTTGCAAAAATTAAAATAAAAAAATTCAAGGCGCGCAATTAAAAAAGAAAATCCTTGATGTCGATGACAAGGGATGGCTTGGACTCATCCGTCTCTCGTGTCCCCATCTGAATTTCCCTTCTTTTTTTTTTGCTTCTCCAAGTTGACTGTTAACTGTCCCACCTTGCTTTTGAAGTTGTCTCCTGATTGGTGTGCTCCCCCTCCCTTACGTCACTCGGAATATGACGTTGATTCTTCCTGTTTCCTCCAGCTGTGTCTTAAAGTAAATCTTGTGGTAGCGCGGAGCCTCAGCTGAGCTCTGCCTGCTGAACTAATACAATTACAGCCAGCCAAAGGAGAGGAGCACAAAAGATCTCTCTCTCCCTCTCTCTCTCTCTTGCCTTCTCCCAGCTTCTCTGTACTCTGCCTCCTGTTTGTTCTGTTAGCTTCACACACACACTCATACACACACACACACATACACTCTGTCTCTTAGTCATTCAGACACACACATACACACACGCACTCACACATCCTCCCTCCCTTGTCAAATTGTACTGCTCATCAGCAGATAGACCAAGCATCGTGGCTCCTGTCTTTGACCGGCAAGAAGGATCAGTTTGCAAGCACATCTTGAGTAAGTATTGCCTACAGCATGGCTTTCCCCCCAGATAACTTCTCGCCTGTACATCTTAAGGATTTTCCCCCTTTGAATAAGTCAGTGGAATGGAAACTTAACTGAGATAAGCTTACCCTCAACAGGGAGTTAACTGGAGTAAGTGAACTGAGTAATTTTTTTGTTGTTGACAAAATGTTTTTGTAAGTTGACAGTTCGGTTACTGTTTGGTTTTTTTTCTACAATGTTTTTGATTATTTTTGTTCTTTTTGTTTACACCGCTCTTGTTTGTCCTTCAATTCTGTTTACTTGGTTAGCTTTTTTACCTTGTTTTTTTTTGTGTGGAGGAGGGTTGCCTGTTTTGTTCTATGTGCCAAAGGTGCTCTCTTGCTGTCTGTAATGATTTGCTTGCCATTTGCATGCATTCTGCACTTCCCCTTTTTTGTTAAGTACTTTGCTCCTTCTTGGGCATATCAAATTTAACAGTGATGGCTTTATGGGCCAATATGAACCGCTGTAATGGTTTCATTGTATGAAAAAGTTTTTGGTTGTGATAAGTTTTCAGGCTTGGTTTGTGTCAGGATGCTTGTTGCCCATCCTTGTTCTTTGTAGGGGAGTGCTGACTTTAGTATTAGTCTGATTTTCATGGATTGATAGATCAAGGTTTTAATTTTTGAAAGGCAAACTTTACTGTCAGTGGTTCTCGTAGCTGTCGAACTGGGGCCCTGTGTTTTCTGCGCCTCGCACCATGTTTTCAGCACCACCAGGGTTAAGGATGCCGTGCTTTGATGATATAGACAGAGAGGCTGCCGTTTGCAAGTATTCATTTAAGCCGTGAGGTTTTTTTCCTTGGCGGTCGTCTTGTGTTGTAGCAGAACAGCCTACGTTGAAAGCTGTACAAGAGAGCAACTCAGATCAAGTGCGTTCTGTAGTGAGATAACTGCTGCGAGTGGGGACGTTTTAGAGCCACACATCGAGCACATGCTGTTGCTTTTATAAGGAACTGCTCAGTGCTGAAATCGAAGGCTCAATGTTTTCTTTTGGAAGTTCAGCAACGGAAGGAGCATGCATGCTCTCGTAAGCAAACTACTGCACTGTGTTCACTTGTCACTTATTTTTTTGCCAATGTGTCCCCCTTTTTTTTTTTCCTTTCAGTTTTTTAAGATAATGTTCTCTTGTTCTTTTGAGCTTGTTTGCTCTGCAAGGTTAAACTCACTATAAGGCAGCTGATCTGACTAATTTGCTATGAAAGATTTTTTTTTCCCTTCTTTTTTTTGTCCTCCTCCCCTCCCTGCTCTCTGCTATTGTAGGACCATAACAAAACGCGCATGGGCAACACAAGACAGGTGCGTTGTGTCAAGAAAGACAGGTGCAACTTTTTCGTTCAGTAGGTTCTTACCAGACGACTATTGTTGAGTGGTTTATGAGTTTATGGTCAGTTCTGAGATAAGGACACCCAGCTCTGCAAAGGGACTTGCAAACAGACCTGGTGAGACGTGTTTTTTTTTTTTGTATCGAGCTGATTTGCATGCTGAGCACTGACTGCATTATTAATCATCGTTTTCCACAAATCAAGGGGTGAAATTCTAGGTTCACCAGGTTGCGGACATTTTATGGGGAATTCGAAGGTGGACCGAGAGAGTCTGTTGCGTACCTGCCCATCAATAAACTGTGCAGCTTCCTGAAATGCTTAGAAAGTAAACTTCAGCAGTTTTGTTCCTTTATCGTTACTTCTGCATTTATAAGTTAAGCCGGTTAGCAAGTTCCACGGTGCTTTCAAAAGGCACCAAGCCTTGCTTGGGTTTCCATTGGTTCATCCAATATTAACAGTAGATAAACACAAAATTTTGACCACCTGGTCTGTCCTCTCTGATTGTTTTTACCTTAGTATAGAAGGCTTTGAGGCAGATGGAGACATGTTTGTTGGCTGTCACATATGTCTATAGGTTTCTATTGGTTATGCTAACCTTGTATAATGTCAGTTACCGTCCATTTTTGCACCTTACATTTGCTGCTAGTTTGCTCCAAGCTCCGTACATCTCTTTATGTAAAATAATACTTTCTAATGTCACTCGTGACCTTTCCCTCTCTAGTACAGGTGTTCTCTCTCAAAGCCGATCATATGTCTTGTTTTTGCTTTATGGAGCGTTATTAAAGGTTTATATTGTTGATCAAACTGCCTATGACAAACTGATGTTTATTCTTAAATTTTTTTATTTGTCCCTGAATACCTTATGGTTGTCAAATAGGCAGTTTTCTGCCTTCACTTTTTAAAAAAAAATGATCTAAACCATCTAAAACATTTTCAATGACCCAACAATATTTTTCTTAAATGTTTTGCAGCTGACATTCATTGCACGGCATGGGTTATAGTTGTGTATTTACATTTTGCACCTTGTTACGGGGCGTACGGATCATGAAGATAACTGTCCATAGAGTGGTTTGTTGAGCGCCCCTGTCTGCAAACTAAGTCACAGATTCTACTGTCTTTGAGATTACCTTGAACCTGTTTGAATAAAGAGCACTGTATCTGATCCCTTCTTTTAAACAGCAACAGCTTATTTGTGACAGTTCCACTTTCTACTTCTGTGCCCCTTTGTACAGTCAATACTTCTGCTTTTTATTAATCATACATGGAGGAACTTAAGATATAAAGGTGTAAAATGACCTGAAATGCGAAGTGGCATGTGTCGTTTTATTGCAGTACTGTGCTGCACCTGACATTAGTCTTCTTCATGTTATAAAATACTTATAATTAACTCTTGATACTCTTCGCAAACTAGCAAGCTGCTCTGCCTACAGTTTTCAGAGTTATAGCTACCCACACCTAGGAGTGTCTCTATTACAGAAAGTATGGACACCTCTTGTGTGTTAGCAGGTATGATTGGTACCCTTGCCTTTTTTTTATTTATCCTGTTCTGACAATTATTTTAGTACTTAATATGCTATACAAGCAATCTATATGGCAAATATAATTCTACATAGCTGCTGGTTTGACATACAGATATATTGGCTACAATTTTGATGTAAATACCTGTTCTACTATATTGTGATATTGGATAGCTCAGCTCAGTCCACTTAAGACGTGGCTGTGGATACTGTTATTTTTATAATCTGAGGTATTTTTTAAAATTATGCCAGAGCTTTAAGGCTCAGATAGTGTTTGAGAAAGATAAATGCCCTCCCAAACATTTTCTATAGAAGCATCTGACAAAATATAGTATATGTTTGTAAAACGGTCACAATTAAGATTGGCACTGTTACAGACAAACCAAAGCTTAAGGGGGAAAAAAATTGCATTTTGTAACTTTTTATTGGTGTGATGGAACCATATATGACTGTGATTGAACATCAAGCTGCACTTTAATTAAAAATTGAAATTGAAATAAGTAAAAATTATCATTTTTTCCTCATGTCTGGTACAATTTATGTATTTCCATAGTTTTATTAATACTAGTACAGGTAACAGTTTAGTGTTGGCCACAAATATATGACATCATATACCACACATAGGATACATTTACCTGAAGAGAGATTTGCTTTTAAAAAAAAAAGATGAATATTTACCGCGTACGAAGTTTGCACACTCTGTGTAACGTTTACGTACCATACATGTTATGATGATACTTCTTACAAGTTAGTCATACTTATAACTTTTAGAAAGTGAAATGCTTCAGTATTGTTTGTAAATCAGATATTACAAAATTGGAAAATATATTTTAAATAACGAAATAATAATTGCTTTGCTTGATGAACAAACCCAGAAAATATATATATTTTTTCATCTGCAATAAATTGTTCTGACCTGGTGTAGCACAGAGATGAGAGAAAAGATTTTTATTTTTAAAGTGTATTTTTTTATATATTTATTACATTGAATCTCACGTAATAAAACAAATGTAATTGTATAATGCAAACAATTAAGCCATATTTCTGACGGTAAACAGGTTTTCCATACCATTTTATCATAAAAGTGAGTTTTAAATATTTATTAAAAATATATCTCATAGTAAAGGATAAACAGATGTTGGGTTGTTAAAAGATTTACCTACTGTATGAAATAAATATATATATTTTTGACCCAACAATATTTTATAGCATAAAATACTGAATAGTTTAGTAACATAGTTATATAAAATGTTTTAAATCCTTTTTTTATTTACGAGATCAACATGTGTATTCCACAGCCACTGACATGTAGCTAAATGGGTCAATTTATCACCGGCTGGCAGCTGCAAACCAGAACAAAACAAGCAGTTAAACATCTCTTTGGTTTAAACACATTTCTTTTTATTAATCATCTTGCTCTTATGTTGAATAACGTTATTTTGTGTCTGATGTAATTTACAGGCAGTGAATGTCAGGATCGCTTTAGTCAACTTTTAAAAGAAAATACCCAAAATCATAGGCTAGCCTATTAAAAAAAAATTATTATGCAGAACTATATATCAACTTTAGGTTTCAAATAGAAGTACAGGTTATATGTGGTATACATTATTTTTTGGTGATACATCAGGTTGCAGCCCTGTTAGCCACATACGGTATGTCAGTGATTATGGGACTTAAATACAAAAGGTATTTTGCAAATCAGTATAAATATAAGAACGGAAAATAAGAATTAAATATTTACTATGGTTGTGTGCTAATAAATATTTACTATGCACATAGATGTGTGTGTGCATCTATACGTAACAACTCTTTGTGGGTAAGAGTACATTAGTTTGTATTTCACAATAGGATTTAGGCCTAGTTCAATCAACAAGTTAATTTAAACATGCTTGGGATAAACATCGGTCTATACTCAGATAAAAGATTTAAGAACAAAACAAACAAAAAAACCCTATAAATTAATAAGAAAAAGAGATGCTATAAAAGATGGCATACTAGGTGGACCACTTGGTTTTTCTCTACAGTCACTCTTCTATGTTTTATATTTCTGAGTGACAGTGAAGCAAATGTCCCTTTTTGACCCATTTTATACTTATTATGTCATTTTATGTTTTGGGGTAATGTTTTGTTGACACTAGTGCATTTATGTTAGCACAAGAGTTTAAACATTTATAGACAGTGTATATATATATATGATTGGCTCTTTATTTGGCTAATAAGAAAATAAATCTCTTAGTATAATAATGGTGCTTGTCAGTCTTAACTGGACCTGCGTTGTCATCTTCTTCCACATTGGCCTATCTTTTTTGCACGCTCTTGATGACTATTCTCTGGATAAGTGATGGTTTTGTCATGCTGAAATGATGCCTATTTGCATGAACAGTCATCCTTTAAAACTAGCCACAGATGCAGTCCTAGGGAGCGCGTAGATGTTTTTACAGGTGAACCGAAAAAGATGGGACCAATTCCAAAAAGTCTGCAGGCAGCCTCTGGCAGTATACCCTATGATTTCTAAGATGTGCTCTGTTAAGCAAATGCATAGTTTAATATTGGGTGAACACGCCATGAAACAAAAAAAAAAGGCTTTTTTTTTCCTATGCTATCTCAAGAAGAGAGATAGTGTTGCAAAAAAAAAAAGAAGAAAGAAAGGAGGGCAACGAGAGAGATTAAAAAAAGAATTATAGCAAAAGGGAAAAAGAGACAGAGATGAGTACAATGTTGAAAGTTGATTTGTCCCAAGTTACTTGGCCAACTTGTCTTTGTTATTTAACCTTATCCCTGAAGTGACTATGACAGTTAGGAAAAAGTGAAAGACTGCTCCATTTACAAAAATTGTTCCCGGGTTTGTTTGTTTTCCTTTAGTTACAAATATAGGTTATGTTTAACAGGCAGGAACAAGATCTGGTGTATTGCACAAGGGTGGACATAGATGAGGTCACATGACACCTATAGCACATTTTAGGGACAGATCCATGTGCACTTGAAGCCTTTCCATAAGGCTGAGTCCAAGATCTATAGGGCTAGAAACGGTTTCATGCTAACATGAAATAAACACAGTTTACACATATGAATAGTCAATTTTAATTGGAGAAGGTGTTGTAGTAGTAAAAATCACATCATTTACTTGCACATACTTTACCCCTTAGCTGACAGGTCACATGAACAAGACACAATTGATACTTTCAGGACTTACCATAAAGTAAGTTTCTGAGATGGAACTGGAACTAAGATGAATCACAGTTCTTTATATTGAACGATATACTGTAATATTGGTTTATGGAAAAGATCTAAGGAGTTTTCATAAACTTTTCTTCACTTCCGTTGTCCATTGAGGTCATTGTAATATTTTTACATTGCTTTTTGGTGCAACTGAAACTTAAAATTAGACACATGTAAGTCATCCTTTGGTAGATAATTTTTGTTTTTCTCTCTAGGTACATTAGTTAACATATTTTTTTTTCCAATTATATACAGTAGTAAAGTATTTTTTTAAACTAGACCATTGAACAAGTGCACCCTGACAGATTTAGAGGTTTTTAAAAATTTGTTGTGTTATGTTTTGTTGCTTATTGACGGTAAACACAGAAAATCTAGTGCCATGTATAAAATGTAAATAGTTTTTTTTAATATCTCACTGGAAAACTTCTTTGAAGTGCCATGTGCTGTAAAAAAAAAACGTAGCTTCATCACCAGGAAACTCAAGAAAATTGTATAGTGCAAATGGGAAGAATTTTCAAAAATTGACTATTTCTATTTTCTCTCTTCATTGTGTTGTTTTACTCAGATATTTCAGATACCAAAAGCATTTGATAACAGCAAGTACAACCTAGCTATAGATCTACAGTGTTTAAGTACATCAGTTGTATGATGTGACTCTGCCTGAAATGATTTTCTGCTTGTTCTTCTCATCTTGTATTTCTCTTCTCCTTAGTAGAATGTACTTTCATCTATGTCCATAATATCTAAATGTAATCAATTGCTTGTCTATAGTAGGATTCTTCTAATCTACTATTGGAGATAAACCGTATCCTTTTAAGCACTTGAGCAAAAGAATCATATTACGGGTGCTTAAGCAGTTTTTATTTTATTTTATTTTGTATTCCTGTTTTTTTTTTTTTTTTACTTAAATCTTAATCCATCTTAAACCAGTGAAGCAGAAATATTTAAAAATGTTTCATTTCAGGCAGAGTGCATAATAAATTGCAATAATTGTAATGTGCCATAAATCCCACAGCCTATGCATTTTGCATTTTATTCAGGATTGAGGTCAGGAAATTTGGAGAAATTTAAAGAAAATGATTCATCAGTCCTTTTGTTCTGTTGGCCAGGGTCCCAGGATTCTCGAGCTGTGCCCAGCTGACAAGCTTTTGAAGATGGCACAATAACAGTCCAGTGATGCCTGACCATGACAGCGCAACCCTCTTAAGCAGGCAGACCAAGAGAAGAAGAGTTGACATTGGAGTGAAAAGGACTGTAGGGACAGCATCTGCATTTTTTGCTAAAGCAAGAGCGACGTTTTTCAGTGCCATGAATTCCCAAGGTTCCGAGCATGATGTTGAGTATTCAGTGGTGCAGCATGCAGATGGGGAAAAGTCAAATGTACTCCGCAAGCTGCTGAAGAGGGCGAACTCCTACGAAGATGCCATGATGCCTTTTCCAGGAGCGACCATCATTTCCCAGCTGTTGAAAAATAACATAAACAAAAATGGTGGCGCTGAGCCTGTTTTCCCAGCCAGTGGGCTCTCCAGCACAGGCTCTGAGATACATCAGGAGGATGTATGCAGCAACTCTTCAAGAGACAGCCCCCAAGAGTGTCTTTCTCCTTTTGGCAGGCCTACATTGAGCCAGTTAGAAATGGAACGTTTGTGTGATGAACACCTGAGAGCAAAGCGTGCCCGGGTTGAAAATATAATTAGAGGTATGAGCCATTCCCCAAATGTGGCCATGAGGGGCAATGAAAATGAAAGAGAGGGAGCCCCTCGGTCCATAAGCCCCCGAGAAAGCTATCGAGAGAACAAGCGCAAACAAAAACTGCCTCAGCAGCAGCAACAGAGTTTCCAGCAGCTGGTTTCAGCTCGAAAAGAGCAGAAGCGAGAGGAACGTAGGCAGCTGAAACAGCAGCTGGAGGACATGCAAAAACAGCTGCGCCAGCTGCAGGAGAAGTTCTACCAGATCTACGATAGCACTGATTCCGAAAATAACGAAGATGGCAATCTTTCCGAAGACAGCATGCATTCTGAACTCATTGATGCTAGGGCTCGGGATTCTGTGGGCAGGTCAGACAGTGAAATGTTTGACTTAGATCCAGGGCAGTTCATTGATCGTGCCAGAGCCCTTATCAGGGAACATGACATGGCACCAGATAATCAACGCAAAAGAGAGAGACCTAAAGACAAAGATCATTTGCATAGCATTTTTCATCCTGAAGGTAAACACTTGGCAGAAACACTAAAACAAGAACTGAACACAGCCATGTCCCAGGTAGTGGACACTGTGGTCAAAGTGTTTTCTGCCAAGCCTATACGCCAACTTCCTCAGGTCTTCCCACCCCTCCAAATGCCTCAGGCCAGATTTGCAATGAGTGGAGAAAACCACAACTTTCATACCACTAACCAACGTCTGCAGTGCTTTGGCGATGTCATCATTCCAAACCCCCTGGACACATTTGGCAATGTTCCGATGCCTAATTGTTCTAATGACCAAACTGAAGCTTTGCCTTTAGTTGTCCGAAAAAATTCAAATGAACAGGCTGCTGCAGGGCCTCCTCCAATTGGTAGTCACCATCCTTCATTGCATCAGTCCCCTCTCTCAGCTGCTGCTAGTTTTTCATCCTCTTCTTTCCGCCACCCATTCCCTCTTCCGCTTATGGCTTACCCATTTCAAAACCCTTTGGGTGCTCCATCATCAGCCTTTCAAGGAAAAGACAGGTCATCCCCAGAGTCCCTAGACTTGACCAGGGAGACTACCAGTTTGAGGACCAAGATGTCATCCCACCACATGAACCACCACCCTTGCTCTCCAGTTCATCCACCCAGCTCAACAGATGGGCTTTCCCTATCCTTCATCAAATCGGAGTGTGGAGACATGCAAGATATGTCTGACATTTCACCTTACTCGGGAAGTGCAATATC